AATTCCATCCCCTTTAATAAAGGTTCCTTTACGAAAATCCGAAGAATCTCGATTTTTTAAAATAGTTTTATATCAAAGGTTTCGCACTTTAAAGTTAAACAAAATCAAAAAGAAAAAGGAATAATTCAAGTTTATTTTAAAATTATCCAAACATGTGCATATTATACAGTGTTATATAACCCAAAAAATTTTTTTCTAATTATTTTTTCTTCAATAAATGAAAGGGAAAAGAAGAATTCGGGTGCGGCCCCATTGACGCCGTTTAAGTAAAAACGTTTTTAGTTTTTAGAAAAAGAAAAAAATTTTTCTCACTGGAACAACGGGGGGAAAAGTATTACAATTTTATATAAATCATTTGATCAAAAGAAAAATTTACGTTCGCTTTTTTATAAAATAAAAGCTAGTTTTTTAATGAAATTTTGTGGTTTCTTCTCATTAAATCACCTCTTTTTTCTGTTTTTTCCGGAATAGTAAATGACGTTTAAAAGGAGAGAGATTTGAGTTTAAAAATGAAAGGGGCGTATGAAATTGGATATATTTTAGGTAAGTTTTTTGGGAAAAAATAAATAATTAACAATGACACAATTATTTTGAGAATATTGCCAAAAGGACGTAGTTATTTTTACCTAGAAAAATTGGGGGAGTGAAAAGCCCCCCCCCCTTCTCCCTAAAAACAATTCCCCAAACAAATAATTATTTTTATTTCTGGAAAATATAAAAATAATTGGCGTAATATTAAATAACCTTTACCTTAAATCTAAAATATTTTTTCCCAATTAATTAAAAGCACATAAATGACGAGTTGAATGACGAAGAAAAAGAAGAAAAAAATTTAAAAAAATTTTGGGGAAAAATACCTTTTTTAGCAAAAAATTATTTAAAAAAAGGGGTATTTTCCTTTCCGGAATATATTCTTTTTGTTTTTATTTTTCCTCCAAAAATATTATTTTTAAAAAGAATTATAATCAAAAAACATTTTTAAAAAAAAATAAAAATAGAATTTAAAAAAAAAGAAAGAAACAAGTGAACAAAATTAACCAAAAAATGAGGAGGAGGAGAGGATTCCTTTTAAAAAATAAATAAGTATCTACGTATTTAAAATAGCGTATCTTTGTAGGAATTTAATGAAAGAGCTTTAATTTATTAATCTTTTTAAAATAAAAATTTTAAAAATAAAAACAATTTGGATTAAGAAAATATTTAGAAATTATTTTTGGAGAGGAGTTTTTCTATTTAAGAAGGGTTTATAAGGAAAATGAATCATTTAAAGAAGATTTTTAATAATTAAAATTAGTGGGTGTTCTTTGGATATGGATTACTCAACAAAATTTAAGAAAGGAGTACAAAGTATCCAAGATAAGGATAAAAGGGAGGTAGGAAAATTCCTTTTATAAAAATTAAAATTACAATTTAAAAAAGGTATTCTCAAAAAAGCAAATATTTAAAAGTTTAGAAAATATACACATATCGTATTTCCTATAATAGTACTCCCGGGAGTACTATTTTTCAACCCTTCTCCAAATGCGAGTACTATTTTAGAAAATACATAGGTATCTTTTTTTTACCAATATTAAATAATTATTAACTAAATTAAAAAATATTAAACTTTTTAAAAAAGAGAAATTTAGAAAAAAAAAGAAAGAAGCCAGAAAATATTTTAAGAAAGGGTTTCTGTTTTAGAGCAAAATAAATAAAAAAAAATTATAGAATTAAAATTGGAAATAATCAAGTAATTATTCAATTTTAATTAAATATTTTATTTTTAAAGGAAGAAAAAATTAGAAGGTTTCTTTAGAAGGTTTCTTTAAAGAAATTTATACTATAGAAATTTTTGAAAAAAAAAATATTAAAAATCAAATATAAAAATAAATTAAATGTTAATCGCAAATATTCTTTAATTAATAACTCACACTTAAAAAGGTTTCACTTTTAAAAGGTAAACAAATTTTAGAAGAAAATTAACGTTTAAATGTATTTACTAAGAAAATCTTCTTTGGAATATACAGTAAATTCCTAATTAATTACTTAGAATAATTGTTTAATCTCTTGATAAGATTGGTAAATATACAAAAATAAAACAATTCCGGAAATAAATTTAAATAAATAATTTTATTATTTTCTTAAATTAGTTCCAAAACTATTTTTAATGTAAAATAAAAATAATTTTATTAAGAAAATGTCAAATCTTTTTTTAATTATTCAGACAAATAATTTAACTAATTATTATGTTGAACATTTAAATAAATTTATATAAATAAAAGGTATCCCCAGAAACGTGGATAAAGTGAATAAGAGATGGTTGATTAGTGTTCGTTCTCCTTAAAAAAGAGAATTATAATAATGAGGGGAAGGGGAAGGGAGGGAACACTAAATGATAAATAAAAATGAGGATGCGCGCATAAATTTTAGAAAATAAATATAAATATTTTTGATGGAAAAGTTTAAATATTAAAAGCTATTTTAGTAATATATTTAACTAAAAATAGAATGGATATTTAAAAATAAATAAATAAAAACAAAAAACATAAACTAAAAAAACTAAAAAAAATTAGAAAAACATAGCAAATTTGGATTAGACTTCTTTGGATTAATATATTTGAATAAATTGATGGGCAACAGAGGTGAGAAGGCGAGGGTGGAAATTAGTGGGCGAGAAATGGAATTTAGACTTACTTCTGGCATAAAAGGAAAAAAGTCTAATTACTTTAAATTTTTAATATAAATTCTTCTTCCCTTAAAATAATTTTTAGAAATTTTTTATTGAGTTTTGAGTTAATTTAAATCAAAAGTTTAATATTAATTAATGCAAATAAATATTTATGTATGTAAAATAATAAACAGAAAAAAGAAGGTGAAGGACAAATATATAAGTATTTTTAGTCCTCCACCTATAAATAGAAATATTGGGGAAATGGAGGGGTGCAGATTTGTAAATGATATGGATTTATTTACATATAAAGAATTTGGATTGTCTCAAATAATAAATTTTAAAATTATTTTGAATTAATTTTAAATAAAAATTATTATTTTTCTCTTCAATTTTTAATGCCAAAATTTCTTTTTTCCATTAATAAATTGAGGTTAAAAATAATTTAGCTTTTAGTAATACGATAATAATACTTATATATTTACAGAAAAATAATGATATTTAAAAACATTTTTAATAAAAACAAAAACAATTAATTATACAAATAAATTTCTGAGAAAAAATTACGTATTATTATGGCACTCATTTCTAGTAAATTTGTTTTTAGTAGTACAAAGTCCGAATAATGTACCAAGCAAAAATAGAAGTTAAAAAAAATAAAAAATAATTTTACAAAATTATTTTAATTATTTTTTCTAAAAAAATATTTTAAAATTTAATGTTAATTTAAATAAATATTTATTTCATAAATATTAATTTAAAAAACTTGTTTTAAAATTGGAAAGTTTTTTTTAAATTTAAAAATATTTTTTTTAGTTTTCTAAAAAAATTTTCGTCCAAATTTTAAAAGTAAATGACGAAAACAAATATTTTTAATCAAGAGGGAAGACAAATTTAAAAGGGAAGACAAACAATAGAGATTTACTTATTATCAATAAAAGTCTCCAAAATAAGAATTTATACTAAAATCAAAAACAGAAATTTTTAATAAATTAAGAATTTTAAATTTTAGCCGTTCTAATAATTAAAAATATATATTTAAAGGTTGTGTAAATCTTTTGAGTGATTTAATAAAATCAACCACCCCAATTTACAATCTATTTCTTAATCAATTCTCAAACCCTTATTGAACTGAAACAAGGTTAGCTAAATTGAGAAATCAAGATTTGACAGTCTTTTAATAAAATTAAATAAATAAGAAGTTAAAGACTCGAATGTGCTAAGGATAAAAAAATTTTACAACCCCTAAATAAACCAAATGTAGTTTGTGTGAAACCCCCAAAATTTCCTTTTTATTTTTCCACATTCCTTATCAATTAGTATATTTTCTACAAATAAATATATTCTTTTAATTTCAATCAAACTTTTTACTTTATTGAGGGCAAAGTTGAATTTTGCAGAGAAATAAAAACTGATAGAAAATTTAATTTGAAAAGAAAAAAAATAAAAGGTAAAATTACGCGTTTAATCAGTAAATGGCCGAATTTTACAGTAAAAATTTAGAGAATAAATGAACCGAAAATTATGTTTAATGGAAATGAATTTTTTAAAATTTTTTTCTAAATTAAGGTCAATCACTGAGGAAGGAAAAATAAATTTCATTTAAAAATATTTCAAATAAAAATAATTTTCTATTTATTTTCAAATGTAGTAAAAGAACTTAAAAAATAAAGAATGCAGTATTTTCCATCCGTTTTTTATTTAAAAATGATCTCTTTTATTTTAGAAAATTCATGATTTCTCTATTGAAATAAAGAATATGTAACAGAAAATATTTAATTGCAATAATAGATTTAAAAAATTGGGCAATTATACTTAGAAGTGAAAATAAAAATCAGTAAATGGCCGAATTTTACGAAACTTAAAGAACATATTCTAAAAGAAACCTCAACATATTTTTAAAAGAATTAATTAATTATTAATAAAATATTTTTAAAACTGTAAAGTTTTTTTAATCCAAAATAATTTTTATTTTAAAAAACTTTAATGGACAAAACTAAAAATATTTATTTAAAAAATAAGGATTAAAAATTTATGGTTAATAATTTTTAACAAATTAAAAGGAATAACATTGACCACGTGGTTTGTATATTTACGACGCAATAATGAATAATAAATGGTAATGCATAAAAACTTTGTTGTGTAGTTCCCCACCAAATAATTAAAAACAGTTTAAATAATATGTATAAAAATTAAATAAAAAGTAAATTTGTTAATAATTACCTAATTTAAATAAATAAATAATTTTCGCATTTTTGTTCATAATTGAAAAAGTTTTAAACTTTAATAAGCAAAATTTCAGAACTATATACATTAAGAGTTATCAGTATTAAACAATGAAGGCCTATAAATTTTCAATTTCCATATTTATCACGACCAAAATTTGCAAATTAGCCCGCTTTACACGATGGTATAAAGTAAAATGAAAATGAAAGTAAAAATAAATAAATGCTTTTATATATAAATGAAGTACCTCCCCCACCTTTCCAAATTCTCAGTGATCAGCTGCTCAGAAGCGCAAAATAAAGTGTGACCAAATAAAAGAGGGAAATGATTAAATAATTTGTAAATAGGTGTATATATGGAGGTAGGTATACAAAAAAGTAACTGTGGAACAGTGGAACTGTTTAAATATTTTACATTTATTTTTTGGAAAAACAGGGAAAATAGTTTTATTAAAATTAAATAAAATCGTCCAATAATAATTAACAAAAATTAAGATATTTTTATGTTTTAGGAACCTATTTAGGTGCATATTCTCGGTTTTTTCGGCCCGAAAAAACTCGCTCTGATGATAAATATCAGATTAATCCCGAAATAAAAAAAAAACAAAATTCTAGAATACATATAAAGAAGAGTTGATAAATAATGAGAAGAATTTATTTTTGACTATATAAATATATCTCTTTAAATATTTCCAAATTATTCCTATACTATTAAAATGACATTTACATATAAAGCCATTTTATTTTGAATGAAAGTAAAAGAAAAATATTAAAGATAATTAATTGAATGGGTGGGCTGATTGTCGAATGAGGAAATATGTAAAAGAACGTCAAGAAAAGAGAGAATTGTGCTAATTATTTGGGGGAAACCTTTTACCAAAAAAGGTAAAAAAATTGGAGAGATCGAAAAAAATAAAATGGAGATTACGTGAACTAAAAAAGGACAAAAAATGGAGGAATGGAACGGAAAGCGTGGGAAGAGTAAAAGTGAAGAAGAAAAAAATTAAAATGCAGTAACATCATTAATAGAAACAAAAATCAGCAAAAAATTAATTGAAAGAATTAAATAAATGGACTTTTTAAAAAGTCCATTTTATTGTAAGGCTTTCATGTGCAAGAACAAACTATTTTAGAAGAGAAACACGTCAATGATTCGATGATATTGTAATATATTACCAAAAATGTAATAAATATTTTTTCTTGCAAAAATCAACGAATAAAAGTGATTGACAGTGCAAGAACAAATAATTTTTACTTATAATTTGTAAACCTCTAGAAAGAAATAAAAGCCTTATGGCAAGCTTTATATAAGAAAAATTTAATCTCTTTTAAAAGAAATTTCCTGGTTATAACCATTAAGCTTGTCATTTACGTAAATAGGTAGAAAATGATTTAAATTTTTTAGAAACAGAGAATTGAGGGTGGAGAAAAAAATAGAAAGTAGTTAAGAGAAATGGGATTAGTATAGTTTCTTATAAGTTGGGTTTCATGGTTATTGATGTCATTTATGTAGTGTTTCTTAATTTTTAGTACGTATTTCAATTTTGTGTTTGGGAACTACAAATATTTAAACTCAAAATTAACTTCAGATTTCAGATTTTAGGGTTGTGTGGATATTAGTTGTGTTTAACTAAATTGAATGTAATACAATTCACTGGAACTAGACTGAATGCAAGCCTGGTTAAATGGCAAACAAACTAAAGGCCTGCTTCAATTATCAGTAGATTCTGCATTTTGTGCACAGACTGTAAAATCTGCCGACAATTGAAAGCCCCAGGTGGCTGCTCCTTCTAAAATTAGTGAAACAACATCCGTTTGGAGGCTTTGTTTATGGATTAATATGTAAATGTATGAGTACCTCTAGAATAATTGATAAGGTTTTATGTAAATAATGAATAACATTAAAAAATAAAAATTATTATTTGTTAATTATTGTTTATTTATTTTTTAAATAATAAGTGCTAAATACCACATTATTTATTCTCTTACAAAATAATAATTAAAAAGAAAAATAAAGTTTAAAGAACATTTCGTTCAAAGGTGATAAAAATAAATAAAACGAAAACAAGAAAATTTTTATCAATGATATATGTGCTTAAGAAATAAATAATGACAGAAAAGCATACTAAAAATAAAGAAAAAAATCATGTGTGAGAGAAGAAGGCCATGTGAAATAAAAAATTAAAAAAATAATGCCAATCATTAAATTTTGAGGATTTCTATTTTAATTACAAATTGAAATTAATAATAGAAAATTTGAAAAAATCGGGGCCGCGAAAAAAAGAAAGAAAACAGAGAGTGACCACTTAAAACATTTAGTGTATTTAGTAATTGAGGGGAATTTGTGAGGGAAATTTAATTTTATTTGTAAAATTTTGTAAAATAGTGTAAGGCATATAACTAGCTATTTATTTCCTATGCTGTCTAGTAGTAGGTGGCTAACAATGGATAACACCAGTACGGTCTACAGCAGATACTGGTTCGGACCCAGCCGCCGATTAACCTTTTGCACTTGCTGAAGGAGAGAAATAGTTATAGCCCGGCTGCTTTACTTAAAATCGGGGTATCTTTAAATCGGGGGTATCACCTAAGCTTAGACTCGAAACAATAGTCAACCAAATTAAAGAATTTATGTAATTTTGGGTGTATTTAGAATATTCTTAATAAATTAGCTAGTAACTCCAAAATAAATCTAAATCTAAGATTTGATGTGCCAAAAATTATAATTAAAAAATAAAAAAATATCTTTCACCAATTTTTAGAGGAAGTTAATTTTTATTTAATTTCTGATTCATAAAAATTTAGAAAAATATTTTTAAAATTATTTTAAAGTTATTTAGATAATCATTTAATAAGAAAGTAAAAATAAAGATTAAACACCTTCTCATACTTAATTTTCAAAAAAAGTATATTTGGCAACATCTTTATTTAGATTAAAAAAAGGATTATTTAAATACGCAAAGGAATTATTTTTAAAAAATTTATTTAAATCTTAAGTGATTTAAATTAATAAATTATTGCTAAAAAATGATGTGATAAGGTTGGCAATTTTAACAGGAAAAAGTACAAAAATAAATTTTAAAGAATTACTTTAATGACGTGATTGAAATTAAAATAAAAATAATTTTTTTTAAAGAGTTGGAATTTGAGAAAATAAACGACAAATCAATTGGAATATTCCAATAGCCCAATTCCTTAGCTTCCTGCCTCTTTCTCCTACTATATCCATTGGCATCAGTGTTCATAAGCTCGTACAAAATTCGTACTCGTATACTTTGGTACAAAGTGCGAGTACGAGGTACGAGCCCTACTAGAGATTCGGAACAAATAAATGTTTTTGCTTTTTATTCCGTTACCATCAAATATTAAAGGTCTCGCTTGGGACCACATTTCATAGACAAAATTGGGAAAGAGACCTATTATTTAGATTCGGCACTAAAGAGTATATATAAATACAACTAAATATAAATATCCTAGCTAATAGAAATTTAATTATAGAATAATATTTTCAATTGTTGCTTTTAAATAAAAGAAGAAACAACCAAAAAATATTTAATTAAATTATTCTGGAAAATATGTTTCCTTTTTTCTAATAATCCAACATTTTTTCAAATTTATCTATTTTTAACATCAATTTATATTCTTTGTACTGACATCTTTTAAAGATGAAATAGATAGTAAATTACATATTATTGGTCCTATAACAAAATTATTATTATATACATACAAGAGAACAAGGCGTCCCGATTCCCGAAAATCAGGAATTCCCGACGTTTTTTGTATCTACATAATATAATTAAACTAAACTCCCATATTTTTGGGAAATGATTTCAAAAAGATATCTCTCCTAACATTTAAAATATATTGTAGTTAAAATTATGAAATTTTTATTGAAAAATACTCGCTTTAAACCAAAAAGACTTTAATTAGAAATTTATTAATTAAGATCGAAAAATATTAGATAAGTAATTTTAATAAAAATTCTTTTTTGACCCAAAAGACTTAAATACAAACTACAACAACAATCCAAAAAAAACAAGTAAATACATATGTTCATTAAACTTATATTTAAAGAAATAAATATTTATTTGTTTTGTATTTTTTAAGTTATTAATTCGACGAATAAAATATAAAAATAATTATTACTCACTTTCTAGGCTCTTTTTTTAATTATTTTTGTTTATTTATGCAAAGAGAAATTTAAAAAAATTATTAAAAAATAATTAATTGAGAAATTAAACAGAAATCGGGTTTGAAAAAATTAATAAGTCGTTAATTAAATTAATTAAAGAGATGTTTTTGGAGGAGAAATTATATAATGTTCTAATTTTCCTGTTTTTATTTATTAATTTAAAAACAAACATGTCATTATATTTAAACATCAATTTAATATGTTAATATAATGTTTTATAAAAAAAATTGATTGTTTGTTTTGAATTAGTATTTCTGTAACATGGATAAGCTTAATCAATTCAAAAAAGAGAAAACGTGGAAGGCCTGATTCTTAAGGAAATTTCAATAAATATTTGAAATTTTCTATATAGTATTTGCTTAAATATATTATTCTAACAAATTTTTGTCCAATAAATTAGACAAAGTTTATCTGACACAGGGATCAGAAATTTAAACTCCGTTTTAGGTGTCAGTAAAGCCTTTGGAAGGTTTTCATTTTCAAAAGGGCCTTTAAACAAAAGAGAAGAAATTATAAATTAATGGAAAAAAGAATTGTGTTGAGTCACATTTTTTTAATATTTCAAAATAAAAAATTTGATTTAGGTAAAAAACTTAAATAGTTGCGATTTTACTTAAATATTTTGTTGGAAAAAAGATCGTCCAAATTTTATGACATCAATGGGTTAATTAAATTTAACACATTTCTGATATTTTTAATTTGGAAAATATTTGTAAGTTTCAAAACGAACTACAAAAAATTGGACGCAGAACGAGGATTTGGCTAAAGAAAATATCCATCTAAATCGCATAGTTATGTGTAGAGATTTTACTGTCTAAAAGAATAACTTTGTAATTATAGATAATTATTTTTGATTTTTATTAAAATGTCCCTGAATGTTTCTTTGATAATATTTAACTTTTTAAATAAATAATTATCAAATTTCTTAAATATCAATTAATTTTACCGATTATTTGATTTATCAGTTACTCGGTCTCTAAAATAAATTTCCAATAATTATTTAAGTAATTCACACCAATTTTATATTTTTAACAAATTTAGAAGTTTATTTAATTTATCTACTTCCAAATAATTTGGAATTGTCCAAAATTTGTCAAATAGGAATCGCCCACTCAAAACACCCTTTACTAATTAAAATTTCCTTTTCATTGTCATAAGATTTAAAATAAAATATTTTTAAGTGCGTATGTCCTTTATCAAATAAATTTTGTTGATATATCTTTTAATTATTTTTCAAAAATAAAAGTTAATTAAATTAGTTCCTCCTTTATTTAAAAATAAGGAAAAATTAAATATTTCTTTAAATTAATCTTAATAAATAGAAAAAATATGAAAATA